ACAGACAGATAGACAGACAGACAGACAGATAGATGGACAGACGGATAGATAGACAGATGGACAGACAGATAGATGGACAGACAGATGGACAGACAGATAGATGGACAGACAGATAGACGGACAGACAGACAGACAGACAGACAGACAGACAGATAGATAGAGGCGGAGTTGGAGTCGCAGAAGAAGAAGAAGAAGCGGAAGAAGAGGCGTGTCTGGAGCAGAGCAGATATAATGATTGAGATTCTTCAAACAATATATATATCCAGATGATGACAAGGCTCAGATTTGGTCATACTGCTCTTAATAGCAGTTTGAAGAGAATGGGGAGGCATGAAACTGGAAAATGTGAATATTGTAATATGGAGGAAAATGTACCTAATGAAGTGTCCAAGATACGGAAAGGAAAGAAAGATACTGATGGATGTCCTCAAGGAAAATAAAGAAAAACTTAATTTGATGAACATTTAGGGGAATAAAAACGTTCAATTATGAATGCGTTATTTAAAGGACACGGGATTATATAATAAAATTTAGTGAAGAGTACGGTCCTGATCCACACTCCTACTCAGTAGGTGGCGGTAATGCACCTAAAAGTTGTATGCCATCCGCCATTAAACACCAAGAAGAAGAAGAAGCGTGTCTGTGACGTCACGCGCGTAACGTCCAGAATCCACTATGGCGGAGAGGTAGTGGCGACTCTCACTTTACCGGTACAGCTATCTGCTCGAGTCACCATTCTCCGGCTCACGCTCAAACACCCCGTCTCCTCGCGCGCTCTCCCTGGTCTCCGCGGAACTAACCGAAGCATGCCTAACATCAAGATCTTCAGCGGCAGCTCGCACCAGGATCTGTCTCAGAAGGTCGCGGACCGTCTCGGGCTGGAGCTGGGGAAAGTGGTCACGAAGAAGTTCAGCAACCAAGAGACGAGGCGAGTCATTTCTGGAAAAGATCCGAGCGTGTTTTAGGTTTGAACTTTAACGTGTTGGAGAGCCGTTTGTTTCCGCGGGCCGCTGGGAGTTGTAGTTCAGACGGTGGCTGCCAGCGCGACACGTGTGTTTCAGAAAACTACAACTCCCAGAAGGCTGTGCACTTACACGCGAGGCGATGTCTATTTGCTTCAGTTTGGACTAATATTGCCATTAAATAGCATTTAGACACGAATTTAGGAATGGAAATACATAACGCCGTAAGTAGCCTCCGAGCTTATACCTTTACGCCATGATGGCTTCACTTATACCTGGCTTTAATTATAGTCTGGTGGGTCAGTTAAGTGTTATCACAAGGCCTTGGTGTTTTGTTAGGGGAATAATTATTTCTCTGCTTTCTGACTTTTCTCCGGTTATTTGCTTTCATAACACGCTTTCGTCCTGCAGTGTACCTTTACAAAACAAATACAGTGGTGTGTTAATGTGTCATGTACACATAGTAACTAGACACTTCCCAACACTGGCAATACATATACACATAGACCTTTATTTACATCTTACTCCAAGATCACATTATATCATTACAGTGCGTTGTCAATGAAAAAAAAGCTATTTTTGTTTGTTGCAGCTTTAATATTGTAAGCGAATGAATGTTGTTTGCTAGCAGAGCTTTGTTGGTGGCAGTAGATGAGTGCTGTACTAACAGAGATGTGTTTCTGCAGTGTGGAGATCGGAGAGAGTGTCCGTGGAGAGGACGTGTACATCGTCCAGAGCGGCTGTGGAGAGATCAACGACAACCTGATGGAGCTTCTGATCATGATCAACGCCTGCAAGATCGCATCGGCCTCCCGAGTCACAGCGGTCATCCCCTGCTTCCCTTACGCCCGGCAGGACAAGAAGGACAAGGTGCGCTGTCTGTCTCGAAGCAGTGAAAGTGGAAGGAGGAGAGTTTTTGTGCAAGTAGCTGGTGTGGATCATCGTTTTGTTCTTTTCAACTCATTTTCTGCAGAGTCGGGCGCCCATTTCTGCCAAGCTGGTGGCAAATATGCTGTCGGTTTCTGGCGCTGACCACATCATAACCATGGACCTGCATGCATCTCAAATACAGGTGGCTTTTACAGCACTCCAAAGGATTTACTGATGCAACACACACACACTCACACACACACCACACACACACACACACACACACTCACACACACCACTCACACACACACCACACACACACCCCCCACACACACCACACACACACACCACACAACACACACACACACACACACTCACTCACTCACTCACACACACACACTCACACACACGTACACACACACTCACACACGCACACTCACACACCCACACACGCACACCCACACACGCACACTCACACACGCACACACTCACACACGCACACTCACACACCCACACACGCACACTCACACACGCACACACCACACACTCACACACCCACACACGCACACTCACACACCCACACACTCACACTCACACACACACCACACACTCACACTCACTCACACACTCACACACACACTCACACTCACACTCACACTCACACTCAC